GTTATTAAATACAAGAAAATAAAGAATGAATAGCAAACACAATGGCGGTAGAAAATGCCATAAAGGAACTTGCTCTAACCTGGTAAACAAAAAAGGCTCAACTAAAAAATGTTTAAAAGGATAAATTCACCTTTGTTGTAACATGTTACATACCTGTATTCAGAGTGTAACATGTAATTACTATCTCAGCAGGGAGCCCCCCCCCCCGCCCCAGATCCGCCATTCTGATAGCGAGTTAGAGGATCTTCTTCCCCCGCTAGCTGCCACAATTAAAAAAAAAAAAAACATGGTGATGTGGGGCTCCACCTAATTTTTTTTCTTTTGTACTTGAGCCATAACTTTCCCAGAGCCAAGCTGTGCAAACTGCCACCATTTCACTGTCCAATTAGACTGCTTTAGTGGCTAGTAAAGGCATTGTCATTGAACAGGGGGATGGCAGCTTGTGATGGTAAGGCAGGAAGCAGGAGAAGTTATGACCCATTAACCAAGTGAAACTAAATCAAAGGCACGGATGAGGATTTTCTAAGAACAATAATAACAGGCATCTTGTGGTGTCTGCTCTAATACAGATTTTTTTTTTTTTTTTTTTTTTAAAAAGAATTGTGTTCACCTCACTTTAAGGCCTATTGTCTGGTTTCTGCTGTCCTGCATGATTGATTTCTGGGGATTTACATTTCATACACCTATGAAAAACACAATTCTAATAAATAGATTTCCTAACCCCCCAAAAAACATGTTCTGAGAGTAGAGAGGGGATGTTTTCAAAGGAAGGAATATCATGACATACAGACCAGCAAAAGCTGTGATATAATGGTGGATCTTCAAGAAATGTTTGCAGCAGGGCTTCAGAGGTAAAGCTGGTTATACACAACTCTCAACTCAACCTAAACTCTAAGTTCATAGAGGTTAATGGGGTGTTTGATTAAATCAATTTAACATCAACAAATCAGTGACAGGCTGTGCATGATGGAGCAACTTTTACTGATCGTGCTGCAATAAATGATTCAAATAATGTTGTTAAAGGCCAAATGAAATCAACACAATAAATCCTCCAGCAGTTTCCACATACAGTGTAACAGTAAGTGTTGCTGTTCACATAGATGGCACAGTTGCTCATGACCAGAGTAACAAATCTGTCCCCCCACAATCATACAGCAGAGCTGGTCCACAGCACCCTACATGCAAGCTGCAGACCACCCTCATACTCCCTGTTAATGAAGGAAACTATTGGTGCCCATTTAGTCATGTGCGTTATATTTGCAGTGTCAGGAACCTGCAATTTCGTGCGTCAATGTGCATGATCTTTACTTGTTGACATGCATTTTGATGCACGTTTTTCATTTAGAATTTGGAGTGGATAGTGTTAACAACTGTTGACCAAGGCTTGTTAAAGGGGAGCTCCAGTTTCCCCTCAAAAAGAGAAAGTCAGCAGCTACAAATACTGGTTTCACAGCTGGTTTCCAACTGCGCATGTGCAAGCAGCGCTGTGCTTTGTGAATGGTCCCGAAGTCTTCTGGGACCTGTAATGTGTCCCAGAAGGTTGCAAGGGAAGGAGGAGGGGTTAACGCTGCCGCGGCGATCGGACCGGAAGTGGGCGCAGGTACCTGTCAATACCAGGTACTCGCTTCCCCCTCCCCCACAAAAAGTGGGGAGGGCTGGCATGCAAACAAGCAGAACTTCCCCTTTTGGGTGAAGTTCCGCTTTAATACCTATTGCCAACATATCAATATACGCGTTATATGCTTTGATCCACTGATATTGACTTCTAAGGGTCTCCCAATGCAAGGCCTCATGTACACAGAATCAAGAGGACAGCACAGTGTATATTCAAGAGTAAATCTGAGCTCTTGAGTCAAAGGTGCAACAAACAGCCTATCAAAATTAATCATAGGTGAATACACAAGCAGCTGCATACTGATACACACACCTGAGCAATAGATGCGTACAGGGATGTATGCGCTGCCCCTCATATATTGTGTATTCCAAAAGTGATATATCCCACCCTATTTCCCAGGGGAGTTCCCACTGCTTCAGTTGCTTTATTCACAAAATAAAATAGTGACAAATAAACCATCAGGTAAAGTTGGACCCCCTGATAATTGCCATGATTAGTCGGCAGATGAAATTGGATAGTTGAAAACTCACCACTATGTATTTAGAGGACTGACCCTTTAATATGTACGAGAAATGTATTTATCATGAGTAATTTTTTTTTCAGCAGCAACATAAGTCATTTAAGCAAAATAAAAATCAGGAACATCTACAACAATTCATTTTATTTGGTACTGCAATGGAGTAGCAAACAGGAAGTCTATAAAATTCTAAAGGGACTTCATAGATATATAGAATCAATATATAAGATCTGTGATTCTCTCTTTATACTGTATATGGAGTGTTAACTCATGCTTTGAAACGGAATACAATATGTCAAATAAGCGTCTGTTAGCAGCAATGGTCCACAATCAGCCAACCTTAAGTTTGAAAAAAAACTGGCCATCGAAAAAACTAATTAAAAAGAATAAAAAAAGAAGCCAATGTTTTGGGGAATGAGAAGTGAATGACGGAAACCAAACAGATGATTGAATAATCATGCAAAGAGCAGTGTGCCGTAATCCATAGAAACCAATTTTGACAGTTCACAGTTTCAGAGTTAAAGAAGACTTCCAACTAACTTAGGTGGGGGCAGATTTATTGTACTTATTCTTTACACTGGACACGCCCTAGCTTGCTGATTAAACAATGGAGCAGCACACTTATCCCCTCTCTTCTTTTATTATCATGATCAGTGCCAGCATACATATATACACACTCATTGGTTTCTATTGGCAGCCTTCGAATTGCCTGGCTGAGGTCGATATCAAGTACAAACGCTCGATACTTTTAAAGGATACTTTTGTAGGTTAAAAAAAAAAAAAAAATGTCCATTTATTTATTTTTACTGGAGCCTACAGAGCATTGAACCCACAAATCAGCAGATCACGGGTGCAATGTCAAGCTCCTGCACAGTCTTCCTCTAGCTTTCTGCCCATATCCCTGTACTGGCTTTCAGTTATAAAGCTAGAGGAGGAATGGAGGAGGCTGGTGTATGGGAGCATATTACACCCTAAATACAGGGGGTATCATGTAACGTGCTCTTAAAGGTGGATTTATCCTTTGAATTTATTCCTAGTTTCTTTTATTTAGTAAATACACAGCTATGTTATTTTTTAATTTCTATTGAGAGGTCAGTTTTAAAGAGCTGGATGCCAGAACTGTAATGGGCATGTATTTGTTATGTATAGGCACGTTATTACTAACCAATCTGCATTGGGCTGGCATGCCACAACTGACTGCAGAGGTTATTTATGGTAACCTTGGGTCCAGTACACATTGCACTGGACCACACTAAATTTTCTACCACACTGCACTGTTTGCTACCTAAATGCCGTACTACAGTATGGAATTCCAAGCAATACAAAATGCTTTTAAAAAATGACACTGCTATATGTACGTTTAACTTGGCGGAGGCAGAAGCAAGTGGATGACGTCTCGATCTCCGGCCCAGCCATTCATAAGCAGCACTCAGCCCAGCTCAATTTTGTGGAATGCCCCATCCTACTGCCAGAACAAAGCATTGTATGTATGTATGGCAAGGTTGGCCCAAATTACCTATTTAAAAAGGGACATTAAGGTGGAGATTAGATTTAACATTATTACTCCAAAACCTATTTGTATTGTTATCTTGAGCCTTAATGCTTAACTCCTCAGCTGCATATGTTAAGTAGTTCTTATGGAATTAAAGGCACTTCTGACCAACACAAGGCCATATTGCTGGTGTTCAAGAGAGAATATTAGAAAGATGTTTCAGATGCTAAACTCCTGGGAATGAACAGATCAGAGGCTTCTCTGATTGTTCACCAAAAAGGTAAAAAAACAAATCCTTTTCGAAGGGCTCAGTTAAAGTTACAGCATGAAAACCTGAATTCTGCAGGACTTGACATTTATCTTTTAATACAGAGCTTGTGCAGATGAGTGGTGAACTGCATGTTCGAGATGAAGCTCAGCAGCTAGACGGGCTTTGCTGCACCGGAGACCAGCTTCATTTATCAGTATGCATGAATGAAGCTGCAATCTTAGTGCAGGACATGGTTAGTCAAAAAGCAAATGGGGATGCATCCTTATAGACAAAGATACCCATTCTGTGTGGAAACGTTGCCTGAATAAAAGACCTGCTCTTTCATAGAGATGAAGCCTGTAAGGTAGGGAAGGTTAAGGTTGCCAAGTTGTGTCTGCAGGGTGGTCACCATTTATGTGAACATGCTCTAATGGGCTCCACTGACCTAAGCTGCACATCCAGATCTGTACAGGTCGCTTAGACTCGTGAAGACTGAACAGTTCTTGTTTGCTATGGGTTACAGAACACCTTATCTGCTTGCACAATGTCATTAAGTCATGCCTCTAAGGTCCCCAGTACACAAATATCTCCACTTTGTTTGCTTGTCCATTTCTCCAGCCTTGGCATATTAACAACAACTTCTACTGCCTCTGACCGGAAACCTAACATACAACAAAATAATAATAAAAAAAAAACAAAAACAAAACAGTGCCTAAACTGCATTTTTGGACAAACCGACGAATAAAACACAATAGCAGATACAATCAATCAATTCACACCAATTTAAAGTATGGTTTAAGCACTTTGGTAAAAGGAAAAAAAAAAAAAAAAAAGTTCAATTTGCAAGTCAAATATAATAATAGCGTGTAATTGCAAAAATTGTGCTAAGTCAGTCAGATTAATTACCCGATGGGTGTCTGCAAAGTCCTCAGAGCATTTCCATGAAACCGCTGAGGGCAGCACTGGCACCGGATAGGTTAGGGACAGGAATACAAGCCTAAGGTTCAGTGACAAGGGGGTAATGACTATGTAAATACACATAAGTATTAACATCAATCTGTATTAAATTATGTAAACATATACATCTTCTGAGGTCAGTAAAAGAATCCTCTTCAAGCATAGGACTTTACTGAAGCATCGCCCGGATCTGTTTAGAAGTTGATTCATCGTTCAGGTGCTTTGTGGTAAACCTGCAATTTGACAAAAATGAAAAGAAATGTCTTCAGAGAATGAAAAAGAAATGTGCACACATACCTAGAGGTAACATTTTCCCATTATAAAATTCAGTTTTCAAATGATCTATAACTGTCTAAGGAACTATTACCGAATGTGGAAATGCTCGTCTTTATAATTAAGAGATATAGAGCATGAGATGGAGTATTCACCAGACAGACATCATACAATATTACACTATTGGCAAGATTCACTAATTGGTGACAAAAATCTTTTTAACTGCAGCAGGCACAAACGTGTTAAGACTCAACCTCTGCTAAGTGTTATTGGTCACTCAAGACACGATTAATGTTTTGCAATTTTTTATTGAAATTGAGCAACACTGAAATAGAATTCCAGGCTAAACCTAACTAGGCTTAAAAATGCTCCCTCTCCTCTTCCAACACTTATACTAATGGATCTGTGTAAGAAAGATCTATATACTTGCCTATTTTCAGCCGCTCCAGTTTGGTCATGCAATCCAGCTCCCCTGTGTCTGTCAGCGGTGGCTGCAGGGGAGAGGAGGGATCCCCAACATCTGATGGGCCATGTGAGCCTATGGATGTCACCGTTAGCAGGAATTCCCAGCCCTTATCAGGGAGCTATCTCCTCTCTCCTGCAGCTGCCATTGGTTGACACAGGGGATTGCATGACTGGACCAGAGCGGGGCTGAAAACGGGGAAGTATAGACTACTTTCTTACACAAGTTAGGACAGGGGAGGGAGCATTCTTAAGACCAGTTAGGTTTATCCTGAAATTCTACTTTAAAAGGGGACCTCCTGTTCATTCTATTGAGGTATACATTATAATTTAATGCTGGGTATCAAAGTAATCAATTTGTATAGCATTCTGCAGCTCTTGCTAGTAAGCAGCTGCCATTAAGCGAGACTGGACTTCTGTTGTGCCCCTGCACCATTAAAGTGAATGCCAGAGCAATAAAATATAGATAGAGCTAGATAGAAATAGAGCTAGATAGAAATAGAGCTAGATAGATAGATACGGCAGACATGCACGCAGCTCCTAATTTCCCATTTTGGGCTGACAATGCACAGCTTTTTTGTAGACTGAGTTGTTGTCCACTTTGTCTAGTTGTCTTTTGCTAAACTACTTAAACCTTCCCACGCTCCCATCTCCACAAGAGACAGGGCAGCTCTGATTTCTGACATGCACTTATCAAACAGATACAGCAAAACACTTTCAATGGTAAATTTATCAGACCAAAAGGGAGCAGATAAGAGGCATTCATTACAGTTTGAGTGCCACTTAAAGAAGCTCTCATTTATTCCTTGCTATATATGTCCCATTATTGAAGCTCTCAGACTAAAGCAGGGGTCTCCAAACTTGATAAACAAATGGACGAGTTACTGTCCTTCAAACAAGCCAGACTCTGGCCTGTGGGAGAAGAAAATGTGTGTCAGTAAGCGTAAATAAGGCCCCATCTTTGGTATTAGGGGAAGGAATAGTGCCCCAATGTTGGTGTCAATGGGAGGAATAGTGCCCCATCGTTGGAGTCAGAGGGGGAAATAGTCCCTTGCATTAGAGGGAAGAATAGAGGCCCAAGGGCCGGTTAAAGATAAGCAAAGATTCACATCCAGCTCCCAAGCCTCAATGTGGAGATGACTGGACTAGAGTAACACTGGCCATACAGAAGTCTCCCACTCAGTGTGGTTGGCGGAATTCCTCCCGCTGCGCAATTGTATTCTGAAGGGGGAGGGGAGAATTCCCTGCTGTCAGAATACACTGATCAGTGTTGCAGGCTATAGCCCACAGCACTGATTGAGAGAAAACTTTCCAACACGCTGGTTGTAAAAATCATCTAAATACATTCCAAATGCACCAAATGGTTTGCAGAGTCAAAAAAGTAGAAAAGTCTGTCCCCTGCCAGCATGCCATATAGAAGAACTCTTGCTATTTGTATGGAAGCAGTGTTCTCTTTAATCCCAGGGTACATGAGATTAGCTAGCTGCAGAGCTATAGGTCTGCCTCATCTTGGGGCATGTCAGCACTCTGCAGAGAGTTCACTGCTTCCAGACAGAGGACATGGATTTTCCTTGCAACATGCTGGCAGGGGAAAGACTTTTCTACTCAAACTGTGGCTGATTTTTAAAGAAAACAAACTAAAGGGTTTGCATGTCATTGTTTTAATACACTAGGAAAGTTCTTAACTAATTAACCATGAAAATGTTAGCTCCTTAATTGTCAAACCAATCTGACTTCAAAATAGTCACATCAAACAAATAGGTTAATACTACTGGTTGTTCAACCTTTTCGTTTCCAGTGAAGGTGAACACATGCTTGATGGATGACAAGCTTGTAAAGTAATTGCTGTCATTAGCTACTGAGTGAAAACTGTGTTGGACCAAAGTCAGCCAAGCAGATCCCAGCTCCTTTGCTGCTTTCCTCAGTCCTGCAACACAGCCCACTGGAGGAGGCTATGAGCACAGACACCTATGGCTGGACCATGCAGCAACTAAATATGAGAGTTTGCTACTTTATAGGGTTGTGGGGACACGCATCACAGTTAGTTGCCAATGGGAATGAACAGAGAAAGTGAGGTAGGCCTTCTTTTAAAAAGACTGGGAGCCATTCTGAGAGTAAGATCGCACCCCAGATTGCTTTTCAAGTCCAAATTGTGTAAAGAAAAGGGGTATCTAAGGCCAGATACATATTACAGATGTAAAATTTGAATGGTACCTGAGTGCATTTAAAAGTCCTTCCACAGAATCTGGGGGTTGTTCCTTCAAAACCTTTATACATCCTTTCATCTGCCAGAAATATGTAAAATGGAAATGTCCAAATGTTAAAATCCTCATGCTGGTGTATCAAGTGTCAACATTTTTAACAAATATTTTAGAAACAAATCATACATTCAATAGCTAATACTATGGATACATCAGAATATTAACACAAATAACCAAACAACAAATCAACTCATTATAAAATGCATGCAGATATGGTCAAATGTTTCAGTTGTTGGAGAAGATGGGTGATCTCAGCAACTTTATTTTGTAGATCAATTCTGCTTTATATAAACAGTTCAGGCTGGTGGTGAGATGCTGTGTGCAATGTTTTATTGACAAACGTTAGGGTCACCTATAGAAAAGTCTCAACATTCATTATATTTTCATAGCCGATTAGGCTAAAACAAAAAACTAAACTAAATTGTAATTTATATAATATATTAGGTTATTTCAGTCACTCCATGTTAAAAACATCCTGCCCTTTCATTAGGGTGGATTTCTTTATATGTGTTCAGTTGCTCTTTAATGATTACCAATAATGAATGGACATATTCTCACAGCATACTAGAGAATACCAGGATAACCTGCACTAACATGATAGCAATAGGTAGGAAATCTTACATCAATCTTTGACGTCTTGCAAAAAGCACCAACTGGATGAACGTGATCATAAAGGATTATTACACCAACCATTACCCTCATACAAAACATGAGTGTGTCTTCACTGGAGAAGCGACTGCTGTATTCCCTGTTAATGGAATGGACAGAATTGCATTAAAAATAAGTCACTATAAAATACATTAATTGATACTATCCCTTTTAAAAGCTGAAAATGATTTTCTAATAAAAAAAAAGTACAAACTGTAAAGACCAGATCAGAAGTGTGGTCACCAATTGCACTAGATTAGATTCACATTTGTCATCATTCAACTGCATTATACAGTAAACAGTAATCTGATTGGCTGGCATGAGTCTCCACATTTACATGCTAAGTTTTGCACTCCAATATCCTAGAGGCCCACATATGGAACAAGTGCAGAATGGCTTCAATCAGCTGAATAACATCATAAATGTCCAGAATATAGCAGGCAGGACAGATGAACCCTTGCCATTACCATTAAAATTGGATTCCTGCTTTTTTTAGTTTTAGACTCTAGTTGAAGCCAACCTAAAAAAGGGCAGAAGCTTGTAACATTGTTCTGCGAGTTTTATTTGCCCAGTATAACTGCATTGAGGTTTCCCCCAGCATTGGCTGCACAGAAGTGTGCAAGAGTGGCTGTGTTAATACAGCAGGCCAACATGGGAGGACTACAGTGCAGCAGTCAGCAGGGCTTGTTCTCCTTAGTACCCCCAACTATCCAGTCTCTACTATGGATTTGTAGCTAGTGCTGAGAAATAAAGGCAGTACTAAATGATACTGGACTATTCTAGAACGTTACAAGCCTCTGTCCTATTTTTTAATTTAGCTACATACAGACTTTAAATACAGAAAAAGTTAAGAACCTTTAAGATTTGTATTGCCCTCTAATTGGGGAGATCTATTATCACTTCCTGTCCAACAGAAGTAACAAGAGAGAAGAGAAAATCTCTAAAGTCACGGAATATCCCACCTTGACAGTTTTCATTACTGCAGGTTTTCCCTCTATTCTTGTTCTGGTGTCAACTGTAAAAGTTGCCCCTCTTTCTTGATTATGAGGACTGTAAGGGCTTGTTTAAACGTGCGGTTGGGGGGTGGTAAGAACATGCAGCCAAGCCCCTCAACTGCTCCTCCTTAAGCTGCAAAGGCAGTGGCCAGGAGTAGATACATGCTGTGGCCATGAGACTTTGCAGCAAGAATTACAGGTAGGTCCATATATATTTTGACACAGGCACAATTTTATTTTTTTTCCCCAGGTATTTACCAAAACATATTCCAGCTAGTTATATAACAAATATGGGCTGAAAGTGCACACTCTCAGGTTTAGTTTGGGGGTATGTACATCCAAATTGGAGGAAAGGTTTAGGAATTACAGTTCTTAAGAGTAGTCATCCTCCCTTTTTCAAGGGACCAAAGGTAATTCGATAATTGAATTAAAAAGTGGTTTCATGGGCAAGTGTGGGTTACTCCATTATTTCTTCATCACTTAAGAAGATAAAAGGTCTGGAGTTGATTTTAAGTGTAGTGTTTGCATTTGGAATCTGTTGCTGTGAACCTACATCATGCATTCAAAGGAGCTGTCCATGAAAGTGAAACAGGTCATTGTAAGGTTTCAAAAACAAAACAAATCAATCAGATAGCAGCAACATTAGGAGTGGGCAAATCAACAGTTTGGTACATTGAGGAAATTTTGAGCTCAGCAACATAAAAAGGCATGGACGTTCTTGGAAGACAACAGTGGTGGATGATTGCAGGATCCTCTCAGCATTTCACTTGCTGAAGGCAAAACTAAAGGCAGAAAGACTCACAAAGAGCAACTGAAGACTGCTGTAGTTAGAGCCTGACAAAGCAACAGAAAGGAGGAAACCCAGTCCTTGGTAATGTACATGGGTTCTAGACTTCAGGCAGTGATTGCCAGTAAAGGATTCTCAACAAAATATTAAAAATGAACATTTTATTTCTGATTATATTCAACTGTCCAATTACTTTTGGTCCCTTGAAAAAGGGGGGATGGCTACTCTTAAGAGCTGTAATTCCTAAACCCTTCCTCCAATTTGGATGTATATACCCTCAAATTAAACCTGAGAGTGTGCACTTTCAGCCCATATCCATTATATAAATATAGCCTGAATATGTTTTGGTAAATACCTAAAAAAAAAAAAAATAATAATTGTGCCTGTGTCAAAATATATATGGACCTTACTGTACAGCCTGTGTCGCATTTGACGGGCACTACCACCCACTAAATGAGACCCATTCCAGTAAATAGGACCACGCTGCAACTGCCTACATTTAGGGAATTAAAACAGGTGGTGACATATTGCCTCTTTACCGCTGTCAAACACCCTTGAAAAAAAGCAATCCCAGCGTGAACTGCTTTATCAGAAGAGCAGCAGTCCTTGCCCCGATTGCAAATGAGCCCTTAGTGAGGAAACTCTCCTTAATAGAGAAAAAAAGAGGGCAATAAAAATCTAAGAGAGGCTTTGACACTTGCCCGGTCTCCTTAAAACAAATAACAAAAGTTTGCCAATTTTGCTTCATTGAAAAACCTAAGTAAGCATAGTTAACATCCTCTGCTATCCTGTTATCTATGTATCCATTCAGCTTGTAGAATCACATTTTCAGATCTTTTTATCTCTTTTCTTTTCATATCAAACACAAAAAAATATTTCCATTGCTCAACCCTTAAGGAGCACTGTAAACAATCTTTATTTTTCACTAAAATATAACATAAAATATAACAATTACACCTCATATAAAGTGCAGCAGGTTAAAAGACTAAGTGACAAAATCTGATACTGGCAGCGATACAGCTGAGAAGATAAAGGAGAAATGACTTACGGTGTTTCAAGCATTACTTTACACACACTGGCCATTGTACTCAAACAGTCTGTGGTGTTTTCAATGGGTAATGTTTTATTCTGCAAAAGACAAAAAAATTTAATACAATAGCCAAAAACAAAAAGAACGAATGCTAAAAAGCGTTCTGAGATGACTTACATCAGATACAAAGCTGGTAGTGGCATTGCTAAGTGTTTTCAGCATTGGCGTGGCTTCAGCATAGAATAGTGACATCCTGTTTGCCATTTCATTGTTAACTTCATTTTCAATGTCTAGCTGCAGAGCACAAACAAGCAGAAAAACACAAAATATTAAAGAGGCTGCAACAGCAAAGAAAATTGACAGTCTTGGTCTAGAAAGAAACACTGATTAAGGCCTTAATGTAAACCTGTGCTTTGGCCATGCAGGGCAAACCAACAGTTCCATTTTAAAGGGCAATTCAAAATGAATTTTCCATCCCTATCAGGCAAGAAACTTTAGCCCAAAAACAGCCAAATTTTGTCATAGAGGTAGTTGGTCTAGGGGACAAGAAGTATACATCCAGGCCTGGTACTGGGGATTAGGAAAATGTTATGAAGCAGGTACTTACATGCATGTTATTTATTCTGTTGCGACTTATCGTCCGCCTATAATAACTGAAATCATTCTGGATTGCAGGATTCCGCATCTAAAGGAAGAACACTTATTACAAGTGTTTCTTATTCCCCACCAAAAGATATTAAGGAAGGGAGGGTTCCTTACCTTTAGTTCATCAAAGCGGAGAGTAAAGTGCAGAATTTCAGCAAACTCTTTAGCCAACGCTTGCTCTCGCTCCAGATGTTGTGTGGGGGTGTAGGGAGGGCAGGTCAAAGACTCTAATAAACTCTGCAGAGCTTTTTCTGTAAACAGAAAAATGTGTGTCACAATTGTGTTAGTAAAAACATGTTTTGTGACTGTAAAAAGGCTATGTTTTATTGCTTGATATTATCAGGATATCCATAAATTAGGATATAGTAAGAATGGCACATTTGGGGAGCAACACCCAACCAACCATTCTGTAAGTGTTATGTTGGCAAAACTATCAGAGTACTTCACCAATGATTAGGTGATCACCTTTATTATTCATCTAATGGTAAACTCACTACTGTGGGATGCCATATAGTTTATTCCATAGATTCGACAGTACAGTGGTTAACTTCATGGTGTTGGAGGTAATCCTTGAAAATCCACATGGTGGCAATTGCGATCATATAATTCTACAGCGTGAAACCCTATGGATAGAGATACTCAACGCCACCATCCCCCCTGGTCTTAATGAAGTACTAACTTACAAACCTTTTCTATGAAATGCAATGTCGACCAACTGGCAAACATGTTTTCCTGTGCTGGCTTCGCTAATTTTCCATTGCTATTTTTATGTATATTGAATATTTGGCTTAGATTCCCTTTGTTTCTCTTTTTGCCCACAGAGAGAGGAGGTACTTCTGCTTTGGCTGGGCTCTGCCTCCTTCTGAGCCTACTCGTGATTCCAAAATGGCAGCGATGGTGGCGACCGTACATGTGCGAGTGTCCACGCATGCAGTTTGGGGGATCTGCTCCAGTGATGTCAGATGCCGGCAGTGTCCACATGCGCAAGATTGGGCATATAAATGGTGGGCCGGTGTTTCCCCCTATTGCGGATGTTGCCAGGAAGGGAAGATAAATCTTGATTCTTCTAAGGTAGACCACAATTAAATATTGCCTTATTTACTAGTATATAACCATATTTGAGTCCATACATGGGATACTTTGATTACAAACACGATACGATTTAAGCTTTATTACATATGGGAGATTATATGTAGTGGAGACTCCCTTGTTTATTCTTAATTATTGGCCTTTTTTTGGCTCATTTATTTGGGCTGGATATATACCTCCTTACTATAATTCTCTATATGTTTGTAGGTATTTGTTTATGGGGTCTTGTCTGCTGCTATGCTTGGTTGAAATGGACATCTTTAAACCCTTGCTTGTGGTCTCCTTATATTTAGGGTCATGACCTGATACCAGCCTTCTGGGTATTTATAATTCCCACCTGGCTGAGATACTGTTATCTTGTTTTTAAGGTCAGTATGTAGTTGAGCCCTTTTTTTTTTTTTCTCTTCAGAACATGATTATTTTGATGTTTTCTAGTCGCAGAGGTGGTATACCTGTCACTGTGCCAATTATTTTGCACCTCGTGGGGGAGGTATGGTGGTGCCCCTGTCTGGCCCCTTTTATTTGACATGAGTTCACATTGGTTAGCAACATATCTGTGGATTTGGAGATATTACTTTTTTAATATGTGTTATATTTCTATGAGATGTTGTACCTTGAATGTTATGATTCTATTTCAGAGTATTTTTTTACTTTTCCTCCAAAAGAAGATCAACGCCGCGAAACAGAGGAATCAACATTATCCCCCATCAGGTGTGGAGCTGTAATAATTATGACCTTTGTGACTTATGAGATCATGCTGTTAAATCTCTGATTTTAGAATGAATTTATGTACATATTCGATCAAAAAAACATTTCTGTGTATTAAAAAAAAAAATACTGTTTTTATGATTGTGTGCTATAATTCTGTTCTCGCAGCACTAGGGTTCTGGATTTAAATCTCAACAAGGACAATGTCTGCAAGGAGCATTAATATTTGGTGAGGTTACTACCTGGTGCTTAAAATGGTTGTAAAGGCCCCCAATGCCCTTACATATACCCACTGAAATTACTAGCCCCAAGTGATACACAGATTAAATAAATCTACTGAAGAGAGTTTCAGTATTTGGTAGTCGCTAGAAAGTTAAAACAGGTGATAATTTATTTCACATAAATGTCTTGAGGGACTTGTAAGAATACAACCGGAAGTACTGGAACACAAAGGTGGAAGGGAATACCTAACTTCAACATGGACAGGAACAGTGAAAAATTATAGCAGGGAGATCTCGCCCCTGGAGTCTCCAAGACACAAATCCACAAGATCCCACCTATAAAAACCTATATTGGTTTTGGTGAGCTACGCCTTTATGAAATTACATACTTGTGCTGGTTTAGACTCCAGAGTGACAGAACAAATGATACTAAGGGAGGGTCGGGTGTAGATCCAGGAGTTAGGGTGTAGCTTTTCCAAGCTCCTGCTTACAGGATAAACTTACCAAGCCTTAGAGAAAACTCATAAAAACCGCTTCAGCCTGACGACCAGGGGGCACACTGAATTCCAAGCCTTCTCCTGAAGCTGGATATCATTAGGATTTTTGAATGGCCTAATAAATAAAATGAAAAAGTTCATTGACAAAAAAAAAAAATAATACATAAAAAGACACAAAAAAGCAGATAATCAAAACGGATCCTGCTTGAAAATGCAAAGTCCCATTTATTTTCTAAGTCCTCTACCTCCCAATTAAAAAATGCAAAATTATACCTTAAAGCAGAACTATACCCTCACAGTCAATGCTATTTTTAATCCTCAGGCTGCTAGCATTAGTAAATACATAGGAAGGTATATTATATTTACTTGTTTTAAACTTTTTTTTTTTTTACATTTCCTTAGTTACTTCCTGGTTTCCATGCCTAGGCAAATGAGGTCATACATCTCAGGAGTCTTCAGGAGGGAGTTTCTCAGCTAAGCAAACCCTCCTGCCTGCATGCTGAGCTAAGAGCAGATAGATTCCAGGAAGTAAATGCTACATGAATCTTTTTCCCTTGCTCAAGATGGCCATGGCCAGAAATGCTAGGGGGATGTTTTTCAACATGATTTCTCAGCAAAATAAAGCATGGAGACATGGAAGGATGAGGGAGTTTTCTTTGAAATAAATTTAATAGCGTTTTCGGTTTGTTGTGCTCCGATTCAATGAAGTTCTGCTTTAACAAATCTCATACTCTGACTTTCGGTCCTTTCACCTAAATAAGGGTGACAACACTTGGCCTTCTTGAAATTCTGCAAGAATGCACTCCTGCACAGTGCTAAGAAGGCTGAGTGACATCCCTCTCAACTAGTTGAGATGCTGAAAGCCAGGGTGTAATGGGAATATGAAAACAAATAGATCTAGCCGTTATGGATGGACTATATCAAAACTCTCCAAAATGAAGGAAAATCTTTTCAGACAGCTGTCAAAAGAAATGTGCCTACCACCCCAAAGATATCCCCTCTATCCCTGTTCTGGTAAAAAAAAAAAAAACAACTCAAAATTTGGGCTTTTCCTTTTCTTCCAGTCCCAAAGACAATGGTCACCAGGAAAAACAGAGGGATAATCTATCTAGCAGAAGCATCAACTATAAAACCTAACATGGGTTCTAACACATCACCACTATCTAGACAAAAAAATTGCCTTAAAGTGTTACTATACCCATGACCCTGCATTCACTATATCTGGTCTCCACACAACATGGAAGTGCAATTATTTTAGGAAATATAAACTGCTAAATACCTTTTCTCATCAGCAGTATAGTGCCCTATCAGTGTCCAGATGAGCACGGATTAAAGCTTGTAGGAGGAGTTTTTTCATTCTCCTCTGATTGTCCTATGAGGCAGCAGGACCCCTGGCCCTCTGTCTGGACAGTGCTGATTGGCCCTGGGCTGATCAAATGCATCCTCCCAAAGAGGAAAAAAAAACTCTCTAGCCATACACACCTAACTAAGCATGTGCAGAGTGACTCCTATAGCTCTGTACTATCATCAGCGAATAGATTAGGGACAGTAGAAGGCGAGGATCAGAGGACACTGGATCAAAAAGCCTTTTTACACAATGTGGAGGATTAACCCCTTAGATTCCATTGTGAGTAGAAACAAGCATGCTTTACTGCTCATACAGACTGATTTTACTGATGAGGGTTTAGTAACACTCTAACATGCACTCTAAAGGGTCTTCCACACGAATGTGATATTCACAGGTAGAATCTGGTGGGTTCTTATATGTACATCAATACACAAAAGGTATGCATGCTGTATATCTATACTGTATAAACATTTCACAAATATCTTTTTAAAAATGTGTACATACTGTAAGTACTGTATATAAATATTAAAGTCGCAGTGTAAACTGAAATAGGAAAGTCATTTTTTGATAGCGTTACATTACAAAATGTAATTTTAGCACACACAGACTTTAATTTAATCAAGTGCCAGAAATGTTTAATGGCTTCTTATGTCTCTTGGGAACTCAAGTTATAAAGGTCTCCCTGCTATAGGATTCTAGCCTGGTTCCTGCCCACCTTAGTAGAGTAAGCCCATCCATCTTTGAGTTCCCGATCCTCCTACTGCATTCTTCAAAGCAATTCTACAATAAACTAGAAATCCATCATGGAGAGTTGGATAATCTCATCCTGTGTAGTGACCCATCACAACCAAACCTCATCTCACTGTAGTGGGACCAAGGAAAGATAAATACTGATTGCATGCTATGGGCTACTGCACCTTTCTTTCTAAAAGCATTCATGTTACACACGCATCTGTCATTTAGCTACAGTTACACTATACTGCACATAACTGGTGGGAGGACATACATCTCGTATTTCTTGTCCTGCTCCTTTGTATGCTTGCAGATCGGAAAGTATACTCTCGGGAGTCCTGCAGGACAGCATTGACCTGATTCCACACTTCCCGCTCACAATCCGTTGGCTGTGCATCTAAAATCAAACAGATGGGAATTTCACAACAGCAGCAAAAATTATGGAAAATCAATATATTGAAAAGGCCAAAAAAAGGTTATTCAATGTTCACCAGCAAGCCATTTAGAATAATTACAAGCAATGGTAAACTGTGACAATAACAGAATAGTTGAAGTTAGTGAATAGTTACTGGCAGCTATCTTAAGGCGGGATTTGTTTGCAGCTTCAGGACCAGAAATTTTTGCAAACGCTGTTCAGTTTGGAAGAGGAAGTGCCACTAAAATGTAGTTATTGCGTGCAAAACAGTGTTTCAGTTTGACCCACTTGTGATGTTAATTATAAAATACATTGTTAAAAGCAGATGAAATTTTGAAGTATTTTCAAACAACATTTGTGAAGTCAGCAGTAGTGCAGAGAATTTTTGTACAAATGTTCCTTCGAAAACCTACTAGTGCATGGCCAACATTTTAATTGACAGCTATCTGGGACCTACATTCTGGTGTATTGCCCTCTGAATAATGCAGGTCAAGTAGAGGCTGAATCTCCATGTAGATTTCATTAAATCTGTCTACTTAACCCTTGCCCTAAAAGCAATTCTACAGTAGGAGAGGTGGGGCAGACTACTTTTACAAAGGTCAATGAAATTTACTTTTTTTTAATTCAACTGCCTATATCTCTGAAATATACTGCCTGTGCTGACATATGGTATTACATTATAATAAGTTTCACGTATACTTTTTTTTCATAATATGCTCAGTTTAAAATGTCTAAGGACTGGGGAATGCTATTCTACATCACCCTCTTTGCACAGTGTAACTGCTAACCGGCAGATCTACTAATGATCGAGAACCAATTAGGACTGTTTCTGACCATGTGATCACATGTAGGCTGGAGTTTCATTTAAAAAAAAAAAAAAAGTCCTTTAATACAGAGACACTTCAGGCTGCTGTGGCATCTGCAGATTGCACTGTGATTTTCAGATACAATTACAGTATTAAAAAGGGATTATGGATAAATATATATTTATAAATTTGCATTATTTATTTTACAAGTTTGTTAATTTTTCAGCCTATAATTAATACAGAAAAAAAAAAAAAATTGGTTTACAACTTGTTTTTGGAACCTCTAAGATTTAAAGCGGAGCTCCACCCAAAAGGGGAAGTTCCGCTTTAAGGACTGCTCCCCCGCTACCCATTAAGGAGTGGCACCTTGGGGGGTGGGGGGGGGGGGGGGGGCAGCTACCCGAATTTGACAGGTACCCGCTCCCACTTCTGGTCCGATCGCCTAGGCCAGGGGTAGGCAACCTGCAGCTCTCTAGCTGTTGTGGAACTAGATTTCCCATGAGGCATTGCAAAGATTACAAAACTGAGTTACAGATATGACTTGCAGAGGCATGATGGAACTTGTAGTCCTGCGGCTCTCAGGTTGCCTACCCCTGGCCTAGGCGGTCAGAAACGGAAGGTGTCCTCCCTCCCTGTAGTCTTTTGGGACATGTGACAGGTCCCAGAAGACTACAGGACCATTCATGAAGCGCAGCGCTACCCGCGCATGCGCAGTGGGTACCCGGCTGTGAAGCCGCAAGCTATCACAGCCGGGTGCCCATACTGAAGATGCCGACCTCCTGGAATCCAGGATGGCCGGTGAAACTGGCTGTGGGAGACACCACGGTACCGAGGGACAGGCAAGTGGCTGTTTTTTAAAAGTGAGCAGCTACAGTTTTTGTAGTTGCTGACTTATTTTTTGACAGGGTGAATGGAACTCCACTTTAAGTAGGCAAATTAGGCAATATAGAGTTAGAATCAAGTTAACTTACACAGCTAAAGATGGCCTAGGCACAGAGGCTTCAATGACCTCTGGCCATGAATGAATGAAGGGGGTTTACAATTTAGATTTATGGAAAGGATATAAGCGGTTTAATTTCTCTTATAAAACCCTTACCTTTATAATCTTAACTTCTGGATACAGTTATGACCTTTAGCCTTTTATTTATTTTGTGAGCAACTCAAACTAAGGTAGGCCATAGATGAGCCGAAATCCGAAAGTGCTCTCTAGCAAACAACATAAATAGCTCATATGATTGTGCCGTCATTTGCTTTTTTTCTCTAATACATTTTCTAATAAATATCGATCATGTTAGATCAGGCACTTTCAATTGTGGCACGAAAATCGTGTGTCGCAGCTGGCACACGAATGATGCGAAAAATGAACTATTGAAATTTCTATGGCCTGCTTTACCTATGTTTACTGGTCCTTTAACGAATACAGAAGTAAAAGCCATTCAGCTACTGTACACAGACAATGATCTCAGCTGGGAATCCCTGGAGAAACACTATTTTAGGAAAGCCATGCTCCTGGCAGCCAAACAGCAAATGTGTTTCTTCTACAGCCTAGCCTGCAGAGGAATGACTGCATAGGCCAGCAGTGGACCAGTGCCATACACTAATGTGTAGCCTGTCTCTTTCAACATGCTTGTGTGTGCTACTGCCAATCTGATCTAGTCTAAAGAAAAATAACATGCATGTTAAATATAATAAGAGAGCTTGAAGCAGCCTTGGGGGCCATGCTCTGAAACACAGTTCTTTTATTTCTGCTAGAAAAGGCAATGTCCGCAAATAACTGAAATATTTCTAACCAAGACGCCTCTCAGGAAACACTATCTAACTCCATTCTGTACTGCTGCCAAGAGGCTCAATGTAACCCACACTCTGTATTCCACAAAGGGGACATCTGATTTGATTTTAGGGCACATTTTAGATTTAACTTTTTTGAAAGAAGCATGGCAAAGTTTGTATATCAAATAAAATGTACCTAATGGTTTGTGGAGGTTGTTTACTTGGATTAGGTTTGTCTACCTATAACTACTAAAGGACTTCAAAAGGGAAATATAGTTATGTCACAATGTATAAATAATTCATATCAATGTGGACAAAGCCAATTAAAATTAAGACCCCCCCCCCCCCCCCCCAAAGCCTAATGGCCAAATGTGTTCATGGATACTAATGGAGAAAACTCAAAAGAAGGTGTACATTATTAAATTGAGGCCTGGGAATAGGTCTTTGGGGGCTGAAAGCCTAACTGCAGCTTTCATTTAACTTTCAATAGTTCATTTGGACCAAGCTGATCCAAAACACGATTACCTTCACTATCTCAAGCACCCTATGTTAGCATTGAATGTAGCATTAGCCACATATAGCATATATCGCTGTGTTCCGGGAAAAAAATTGAGTAGAGCTGACTCATCTGTCTATATCACAAAATACAGAGCTTCTTGTGAATGAGTACAATACTTCCATTGGCTGAGGTGGAGATCATGATGTCATCTGCCCACCTTAACCAATCAGAGGAAGCCTTGAATTCATTCATAAAAAGTACAAGGCTTCTTGTGAATGACCAAGCAGCGCTCAGACCAACCATTTAGTACCGCTATCAGAACAGCGCTGTAGAGAGCTCTTTTGACAAGGTGACTTTAGTTTAGACCATACAGTTACAGGGTCATTTAAAAAAAAGCTTCTAATCACTTCCAGGTGCATGTAAATATAGATATACTGTATGTTTCCTACATAAAAGCTGCAACAAGTGTAATCAACATCTGCATTTTGGCCAGAGAACTCTTAGGGGGTCTATTTATAAAACATCAGACGAATATCAAACACATTCAAACATGCTGCACAAATTGTGTCTGTAATTTCTCGAATAGAGTAATCCCTATGATTACACAGGTCTGCGACTAAAAAGCTGTTTGATTATTTTCTTCTAATTTCCATGTATTTTGGTGTGCTGGAAACAAATAAAATATTGAAAAAAAACTCCTAGACGTCATGATGTGCCACAAAATGCTAAATGGTCTTCAAATTTATCAAATGTTTAATTTTTTTTTTTTTATATTATGGGTTTTTAACCAAATTTAAAGTCCAAATTACTATTAATAATTCACATAAGTGCATTTAAGATATAAAATGCCAAAAAAAACCTTAAAGGGGTTGTCCGAGTTACGTAAAAAAAAAATATCTGATGGTCAGCAATATATACATAAGCTAAGCAAGTTTTAGCAAAAAAATTCTATTTCCTCATTTCCCTAGTTCTCTTCTGGCCCTTTGTTGTTATTTGCAGGTAAACAATCTCTGCCCCTCCCCCCCTGCAAAGTGGGTGAATACAAGTGCTGCTCTGACATGTCTGACTACTGGGATACTCAGCAGCATGCTGTATGTGTAAGCCTCAGCCCCGAGTCTGTGCTTCTAATGGTAGAAGGGGTTAATCTTTCCTGAAGAATCCAGTGGGAGGGGAGACACAGGGCAGATAGCAGCAGCTTCCATCAGTGCAGGGGGGCCTGGCCAGCATTGTGTCATCTCTTGTACAGACACAGAGCTGCTCTCTCCTGCAGTCCACACTTGTGCACGAATCATCATCAGGTTCTTGGTTCTAGGCTGTTCACACTTTTTCATCGCAGTTTGTGTTAGCTCGTCATTCTTCAACCGTTATGTTATGGCTCCGCGAAAGTGTATTAATTCGCCAGACAGTTTGTTTCATCTGTGGTGAATATACAGTGTTGAAGCAACCGCAGAATATTACAGACTTTGTGAAAAAAAAGTATACTTTGCATACTTTGGACTAAAAATTGGAGATCAAGATAAAGTTTGGGTGCCTCATAAAGTGTGCAAACGGTGTGTGTGTTGAGAACCTCCGAAATTGGTTCATGGGTAAAAAAAAAAATCTTTCCGTTATGGGATTCCTATGGTATGGCGAGAGCAAAAGAACCATAGTGATGACTGTTACTTTTGTTCATGCAATGTGAAAGGGTTTAATTCTAAATGGAAGCATTCCATTTCATACCCCAATATTCACTCAGCAATCCGTCCCATCCCCCATGGCACAGATATACCAGTATCCAAGCCCCCTGCTACCTTGGAAGAGATACCTAGCTCCGATGAAGGTGAAGTCATACCTGAACCAGATGAAGAATCAAGTTCTGACTTTGAAGAGGATACAAGACCAAAATTGTTTTCTCAGGAGGAGATGAA